TGGCGGAACCCCCCGATACAGTGGGAGGCAGCAGCGATCACCCCCTGCCTGGCAGCACCCAGTGAGCCACGGCTTTTTTTGTTTTTTTGTTTTGTTTTGTTTTGTTTTTACAAATGCCAGGAGCTGGGGTGGGGGGGCGGCCATTGCTGGGGTGGAGATGGGCCTGGCTTGGCTGATTTGGAAATTCCACCAAATTGGATCGGGACAGTGATTTGAATCAGTGAATCGAATCGCTGTCCCTAGAAATGGCTGCATCCAAATCCAAAGCAAATACTAGCAGCTTTGCACAGGCCTAGCAACCCCACCCACCTCCCCCTCACAGCAAAATACCAACACCATAAATGATTTCAGTATAATGTTTTGGGGTTCTTTTTCATAAATGGCAAGCTGAAAGTTCTTGCACCAAGTCTGTCAAGGAATTACTTCCTAACACTAAATGTTCTCAGTTCGTAGAGCACGCCTTTCCATGTCGTGTTGTGACGGTCATTTTTCTTTAAAAGATTACAAATGGTTACAACTTTTTATAAACGTATATTTCTCTTCCCACAGCTAGTGAAAACAGATGATCTAGAAGATGATTTCTTGGGATGTACACTAGAAGATCTTCTCCGATTTGATGATTACAATAATGATGGTTACTTAACCCTGCAAGAACTTTATACTGCATTCCGTAAGTCATGATACTCTTTGGTTTTCTTTGCAATGATAAAATGTGGGGTATAGTCCAGGTGTTAAAACTTACGGATGTATTTCAGGACAGTAGTCTCTCTAGACATTCATTTAAGAAATCAGGCGGGTGCGAGCATTAACTTAACATGATGACAGATAGGGCTTTGTTTCTATCTTTGGTGTTGGTTTGCTCTAAAGGAAATAATTGTGAATGTTAGGGATATGTCAAGGGGTTGAAAGGAATAGGATTGCGTTCTTGTGACTCTCATTGTACTTTTACTAACATCATGTGAAAGATACTGTTGGATTAGTGGCTAGGCATGTAGGTCATGAGTACCTTGGCTAAACATATAATCATGGCAGGATAAGTTAATTTAGCAGTGAAAAAAAAGTTTTGCCCTGAATCTCCTGCCTTAGAATCATGACTTATGCATTTTATTTCTGTTTTGGGGAATGAATTGCTGTGCAATATTAAGAGAAAGCTCTGTGTTTGTTTAACCATTTGCAGCATGAATATGGATGATAAATCAACATGGTTCTTAAGCAGGGTGTAACTTTGAGCTCTTAAATGCTCCCTTCTGACTTCATTAGTATTATCTACGCAATTAAGTTATGTGTGACCTAAAGTACTTTGCTGAATCAAAGACATGCATTCTTCCCATGGATGTTATAATATTTCATTAATGCCTGTAAAGCTCTTTGAGATGCTCATAAAAAACCTTTATGCAAGCATAAAAAGCATTATTTTTAGTAGAAATCCAGAATGGTGATCTTCAAAGAACCTGTGACGTGGTACATCATGCAAAAAAATTGCTCAAAGAATGATTCCAAGTATTTGTGGACCTTACCAACCCAAGAAAATGACTGATATCAGCACTGGTGCCCATTTCCAACACAGTTTATAACCTGTGCATTAAACATTTTGAGGACAAAAAAGAACTATTTCAGCAAGTGCTTCTGCCTCTTGATACCTCTTCATAAAGTGCAGATCGGCAAAGTAGGCTCAATAGTGCCATCTTTACTCTTGTTAAACGTAGTACCTTATCCCATGAGTAATCCCAATGATCACCCACAAACAGAGCTTCTATGCTTAATATTAGTGAGAGTTGCAAAACTGGACTCTGAATAACTAAATATAACCTGAACTAGCATGTTAATTTTCCGTGTTTTTGTCTTACTACCCTTACTCATTAAATAGAGTTTCATAGTTTCATAGTAGGGTCGGAAGGGACCTGAGCAG